GCTTCAGATCCTTTGCCTTGTTTTGAGAAGATATTTTGCAGGGATCGCTGTTGCTTACCCAGGCTGCGACACGTGACGGCCCCTCAAAGCAGCTTCACACAAGTTGGCTGGGGAATATAATGGTGTATATAAGGTATGAGGATGGAGGAGGAGGGGTTGTGGAATACAAAACAGAGCGCAGGAGGGAAACCGCTTTGGATCCAGTCTCATACCTGCCACTAATCACTGGGTAACTTCTGGCAAGTAACAGTGCCGGTGGCTGCTTCTGCACCTTCTACAGGAGTCATAACAAAAATCACCTCCTGGGAGTCCCCACACTTCTTTAATTTCTCTCGGTGCCGTGGGTGTCACTGCCGTGTCAGCTTTGCAGCAAGAACAAACTGACAAGGGCGTGCTGTAAACTGTCGCAGGTTTAAGGTCTTTCATCCTTGTTTTCCAAGAAGAGGAGAGAAATCGTCTAAAGAAAGATGGGATGGTGAGTTTTCTTGCCTCACTTCCTCTGGTCGCGCTGCAGCCGCAGGAGCGCTGCGTGTGTTTCTGTGTGTCGGAAGCGGAGGGGAGCTGTGTTTTCCTTCGGATTTAATCACACTGATCAGTTGCTCCCATCTTAAGGGTTTTCTCTCTGCAAAGACACAACCTTTAGCTCGAAGAGGATGTTCAAGTGCATCAGCCAGAGTGTTGTGCAGTCTCGCCTCGTACAGCAGTATCTCCTGCTTGTAGCCGAGCCCCATGTTTTTCTGGCAGTTTGGTGAAACTGAATCTTGAGAATTTTGCAGAGGGCTGAAGGTACCCTCAGCTGAAGGGCATAGTATTTGAAAACAGGGTTTTCTTTGCTCTCCTGGTAGCCAGAGGAGACCTGATCTCATTGTGCTGTTTTCCTGCTGCTACCCCCCTGTAACGTTACCCTTCTCGTGCAAAAAGTGCGTGATCCCTCTTTCAGGGAAGCAATGCCATCGAGTTGCATGCAGCCTGCCAGGGGAGGGTGTTATTAAGGCCAAAGTTTACCAGCTGGTGCCCAAAAATTGTTACTCGGAGCACACGGAGACGCTGTCTTCCCCCTGCGAGCTGGGGGCAGGCGGTTGTTCCTCGCTGACCCCAGGAGGTCTGGGAAAGCTGCTGCCGCGTGAACAGACATATCATTTAAGCCCCTGAGGTTGTTTTCTTGCCGCAGGCTCCTGCGGATTTTAGAAGAGAATTAAATACTTCTCTTTCTGCTTAAAGCAGCAACGCATTGGAAGTCCTGGGAAGGCTTGGTGCTGCGAGCTGTCTCACGGTGGGAGAAGGGAGATGCTTGCGGGATATGTGGCCGGTTTCTTTTCTTTACTTGGTTTGGGGCTATTTCTTTCATTCTTTGGAAACTGATGGGAGCCAGATGGCTATTTCGAAGACGGTGCGTCAAACTCCACACAATCTTGACTTTGATGGACGTCGCTATGTACTTAAGCTTTATTTTGTGCCTCTTCTCTTTTGAAGTTTCCTTGGGTTACGTTTTTAAGTTTGTCCTGTATAACCACGGAAGCCAAACAGAAATCAGAGCATCCCCATGGGATTGTCCTCTGTGGCCCTGCCAGGTCTTTTGTTTCTTCTGGCGGTGGTTGGATGTTGGTGATAGAAACAGCCTGGCACCTCAGAGGTGGTGTGCTTCACCTTGTGGGTTTTTTTTTTTTGCCCAACTCTAGGCAGTAAATCTCACAAATGAATGAAGGCTGCCTTACCCATGCTGTAGTGGACAACTGCCAAATGATAAACTCAGATTATTCTGAGAGTAGATGGTGTGAAAACCGGTAGGTTGCTCTGGTCTTGGTGGCCTTCTAGTAAGTGTTTGCAGAGGATTAAACTTACAGAGTCCTTTACAAAAATGTAGGGTAAGGTGCCTGCCACGTCCCTTTCTTTTGTAAAGGGCCTCGGGCGAATACCGCAGGGAGGAGAGGCTTTGGTGAGGTGTGGAGGGGGGGAGGAGAGGGCAGAGACTGGGTGAAGAAAAGGGCAAAAGGAGTGGGGGAATGATGCAAGTAGGAGCTGGGCCTCCCGGCAAAGCGGGGCTTAGGAAAGGTAAGGGGGTGCAGCCATTGCCTCTAAGGGAAGTGCAGCGAGGATGGCTCATCGCTCGGCTCTGCACGGGAGCGCAGGGGCTCAGAGGTCCCTCTGTCGACAGCATTCCCTTTGCTGGTTATCTTTTCCTGACTTTTAGGGGCTTGTGCCATTTGCATCAAATTAGCCCGAGCTGTTAGCGTACGTCTGTGTCAGCCCTGGGCTGAGAGAGGACAGGCAGCATCTGACCCGGCATCACGTTTGCGGGGACGACGTGTCCCCTGCAATGGAGCGCGGTGAATTTGGGCCACTTTGAGTTGTGGCGTTCTTGCTGTCCCCATGCCGCTGCCCAGGAAGCTGCTGGATGCCCGGTAAGGCTCAGGAGAGGGGAAAATGGCAAGGTGGTGGCCGGAGCGGCGAGGCATCCTCGTGCTTTGGGCAGTTTGCAGCAGGCAGAGAGCCTGTCCTACCCGAGGGGGGCACAAGAAGAAAGCAGAAGATGTGGTCTGCTCTCCCCAGCTCCGGGGAGGGGAGGAAGCGCCGGGGTGGCGGGTGCGGATCCGGGGGCCGCCCGACATCTGCCTGTGCCGAGGATGCTCTGGGCTGCGTGGCGTCCCCTGAAAACATGTGGGTCTGCAGCCATTCTGATTCCCACCCCGGGCCGGAGGTGCAGGTACGCGAGCAGGGCGAGGATGGAGGGCAGGTAAGCCAGAGGTGCGAGAGAGTGACACCCAGGGGCACCGAGGGTTTTGCAAGCTGATGCAGGGCTCTGCACCGCCACAGAGACCTTCCTCTTCCTCGCCCAGCCCGCCGTGGGGCAGTGATAGCAGTGGGAGCTCTGCGCTACGGCTGTCGTTCCTCATTCCTGACCTGTCCTTCATTAGCCAGCGTGCCTTGTCCTGAGGGTCTGGCTGGTCAGGCGATAAACCAAAGTTTTTTGGTTTATTTCTTTTAATCGGTATTCGCGCTGAATGGGAAATCCCAAGCAGGAACGCAGGAGTTGGCCGAGGAGACGTCCAGAGAGTTGTGCAAATGTAAAGGGAGGAAGTAGCTCGGTTTCTTTTCTTACAGGAATGCTATTTATAGCGTGCTGTGCCACACGAGCTGTGGGTGACACACACATAGTGACATAGCGAGCACTTCGCAGGGGTGAATTTTTGTCTGCAGTTTCATCTGCCGGCAGGCAGAGATCTTGGGGTTTGCGGGCTTGTGACCTACCACGGTCACGGGAGGTGTGTGGACTCGGCCCTGAGTTTACTTGAACTGATCACCGGGTATTAGGTCCAAAAAGGAATTAGGTGTGTGTGGAAAAGCAAAGCAAAAGCCCTCGGGGTTTGTCCTGCCATGGGGTGGCTGCAGAGCTGCCGACGCCGAGGCATGCCGTGTGCTCTCAGCGATGGCAAGCTGCCACAGGTCACGGGGGGACCTCTCCAAACCAGGCTTTGGGAATGGCCTTTCCACCATCCTGCTTTCTCTCCTGTCCTAGGACATGAACAACCTGGATGAAGGGGTGGAGTTCCTCCCTGCCATGAACTCCAAGAAGATGGAGAAGCGCGGCCCAAAGCGGTGGGTGGTCATCACCGTCATGATCGTGGTTTTCCTGCTCATCTCCCTCGTCACCGGCCTCCTGGTTTGGCACTTCAAATGTGAGTGTGACGTCTGGTGGGTGGTGGCATGTGGGGCGATACCCTGGGAGCATATCCACGTGGAAAAGCTTCGTTACCCTGTGTGGCTCACGTGTGCCCTCTCTAGCTCCAGGAAGGCTCCGGGAATTGGGAGGGGACACCATTTCCATCCCCCTGCCCCGATTGCTGTCACTGGGGACCTGCTGTGCCACGGTCCCAGCCCTGACTGCCCTTTCTGACTCTGAACTGTTGCCTTCCAGACAGGAACGCACCCGTCCAGAAGGTTTTCAATGGCCACTTGCGGGTTCTGAACTGGGACTTCCTTGACGCTTACGAGAACTCCAGCTCGCCGGAATTCATCATGCTGGCCAAGAAGGTGAAGAGCACGGTAAGAGGTTTCCTACGCTCCTCCTCCTGTGAGCAGGACTTTTCCCTCTTGCCCCGTGGCCACGGGGATCTTGCATGTAAGACTGCTTGGAGCTTTCTCGCTCCTCTCGGCTCTCCCCGCTCGCCGTGACGCACTGGGCTGGGTGTGGGGAGCCTGCCTTTAAGCTGGGTCTTGGCATCACATCTCCAGCCCAATGCCACGGCGTCTCCCTGCCTCTGCAACCCAGCACGTGCCGTAGGAAGCTGACTGGGAAAATCCCAGGGTCCGTGGATAAGTCGGGGCTGGGAGCCGAGGCAGGAGGGTGTCTGCCCTCCATGCTGAAGCCGTGGCTGGTCTCGCCTTTCCCCTCAGACTCAGGTATTCGTTGTGCCTCCCCCAGGGAAGAGCAGGGTGAGCTGAGTCGGAGCAGGCTGTGGAGCGCAGGTCTGGGTGCTTCTGGGACTCTCAACTCTCTCTCTTCCTCTCTTTCCTTCAAGTTCCTACGCTCAGGGATGCCGGGTATGTGCTCTGATTTTCCATAGCAGGCTTGAAGCTCTGTCTGTCTTTAGCCTTTCCTCCTCCTTCCTTCTCGATGTGCTGAACACCCTTCTCTAAACCTTTCAGGTGGAGGAGATCTACAGGAATCATGCAGATATTGGCCCTTACCACAAAGAGACAGTGATAACTGCTTTCAGGTGAGTGTTAGGTACTGTCTGAGCCCTGCCTGGGAGTGGAGGAGGGCGATGCTGCGGTGTCACGCAGCCGTATGCCCTCGTTCCTGGGCTGCTGGGCATGGACGTACCTCAGTAAGTCATCCTGAGTGACACAAAAAAGTGTGGGCGGTGAAAAGCGACCTGAAAATGCGTATTGTTTTCTGCCAGTCCTCATCACTGTGTGCTGAGGGAGATGTCTTGGGAAAATGCAGGTATGGTGCACTAGAGCCCTGTGAACCACAGTGGATGGTGCCTGGTGGCTTTGAAAGGGACTTCCTGGGCTGGCAGGGGCCTTTGCTGGGCGCAGTTTGCTTAACTTACCGTCGAGACCCTCCCTTCCCCATGGCCATCCTCCAAAAATGGCTCATCAAGTAGCCTGGCCTCTTCTTCTACCGGTACTTGAGCTCTCCTGCCTCTGTCCTTGCTCTCAGCCCGTAATTGCCTTTCCCCTGCAGCGAAGGCAGCGTCATTGCCTACTACTGGTCGGAGTTCCTCGTCCCCAAGTACCGGGAGGAGAGACTGGACAGGGCGATGGCGGACAAGCAGAGCCTGGTCCAGAGGTGGAACCCCCGCCTGCGAAACCCCACGCTGAAGGTGGAATCGGTCGTTGCTTTCCGTGAGTGCTGGCTCCGCCGTCCCCGGGCTCTGCATGGGACCTGGGGAGGGGACGTTTTGCTGGAGGGGTAAGCTGCCGGTCGCAGCCCTCCCTTTGGGTGCCTTCGGCCGTGGGGACCGCTCTAAGGGTGCCTGTAAAGACCTGGCTTTCACAGCGCTGCCTTGATGGGCCGTGCAGACTGGGGGGAGCTGTGCGGACCCCTCCCCTTGGCTCGAACACTCTGCGTTCTCCTCTGAGCCCATCTGGAGAGGGACAGGGATGAACCCTCCCTCCTGCAGAGGAAAAGCGTGGTCGCTCGGCTCCCCCGAGCCCAGGCAGGAGCAGTGTCCCCCAGCCAGCTTGCAAGCAGGACCAAATCAATGCGGGTCCCAGGGACTGTCCGCAGCCCAAAGGATGACAACAGCTCTGTTTTCTCCTGCAGCTGTCGACCCCAGCATCGCTTACTCTGCTCGGGACAGTAAGTACAGTTCTTCTTCAGTCTTGTAATGACCTCTTCGGGGTGGCAATTTCCCATGCGGGATGGGGAAGGGCCTGAGGAGCTCTGCAGACCTCCGTGTGCTGCTTGAAGCTGGTTTGGGGTCGGCCAGACTGTGGCATAGGCCTTGCCATTATCTAGCAGTAGTGGGTGGCCCTGGCTTCCCCAGTGATGTTCCACCTTGTAGATGGAGGGACATAAGCAAGGGTGCTCCCTGCAAGAGACGTCTCCCCAGGTTGCCCCACTCTGCATCTCAGGGAAAGACAGGGCAGAACCTCCTCGTTTGCCTTGTGAACTCTTCCCTGCTCTCCTGCGCAGATAGCTGCATGTTTGCCCTCCATGCCAAGGAAGGGGAGATCACCAGTTTCACCACGCCGGGCTTCCCCAACAGCCCGTACCCCAACAATGCGCTCTGCTATTGGGCACTGAGGGCGGACGCCAACTCCATCATCAGCCTGACCTTCAGGACGCTGGAGCTGGAGCAGTGCGCAGACAATGGTGACTACATCAAGGTGTACAACTCTTTGAGCCCTGTGGAGCCCCACGCTTTGGTCAGGTGAATGTCCCCGTTAGCTGTCTGTAGGGCACCGCGTCCTGGCATCATGCGGCAGGGCGATACTGAGAAGTCCTGCTGGTAACTGAGCTCCTGTCCCTGCTCACAGGTGGTCTGTGCAGTTGTGTCTAACGGATTTTGTCCTTTACTTCCTAGGCTCTGTGGGAATTATGCCCCTTCCTACAACCTGACCTTCCTGTCTTCCCAGAACGTAATGCTCATCACGTTTGTTACCAACAAGGAGGGGAGATTCCCCGGCTTTAAGGCTGAGTTCTTCCAGCTCCCGAAGATGAAAGGTGAGCAGAGGCCTCGGCCTGGTTCACCCCACCTCTCCGTGCCGCGGGCAACTGAAGAGGGAGGCGCAGCTGTGGCCGCGGTCACTTTGCCGGGGATGTTTCCAGGGCCGGGAGACCTGGAAGCAGGTCACGTCTTGGCTCTGGGAGCTTGCCTTGCCCACGGTGCTCTTGGCTGCCGTAACGATGTCCCTTGAGGAGGACGAAATAAGAATTATGTTGGATTAGAGATGCAGATTGATGTATGCAGGAAGCACCTAATTGATCTCCTGGGTTCTCTCCAAGCCTCAGAGCAGAGCTGCTGTCTCCAGAGATCGACTTAACCTTCTTAGAGGCTGTTGCGTCTGCCTCCCTTCCTGCCTCGGGCGGTAGCCAGCTAAGGCTTGGGAAAACCACGTCTCTTTGCATCTCTAACCTGTTTTCATCTTCCTGCTTATCTTCTAGTCTGCGGTGGGACTCTGAAAGGAGAGAGCGGCACCTTCACGACTCCCTATTACCCGGCACACTACCCTCCAGCCATGGACTGTGTCTGGAACATAGAGGTAAGACGGGGTGCTCTCTTTGCCTTAATTAGTCTGTCAAATGGACTTCCTTAGGCAGCAGACGGCGCAAGGGAGCTCACGGCGGACGCTGCCTAGAGCCTTAGGGTCTGGCACGGCTGAAGGGAGGCTTTAGGAGCTGGTGCCAAAGGCAGAAGAGGCTGCGAGAGGCCCGGACGCCACGTGACACCCCCGATCACTGTAGCTTCGCGGAAAAAGCGCTAGAGCACGTGGGCTTTGGGACAGGCCAGTCACTTGCTGGCAAAACTGGTGCTGGGGGGAAACCTTCTGCCCTGAGAGAACGGGCACTGTTGACAGAGACCTGGCTTCGAGCCCGCCTCTGTGTGCCGGTTTGATGTGGGATCCTGGGGCCGGGGTGAGTCAGAGTGACTTTTGGGAAGGCGTCTCTTTTCCTCCTGGAAAATGGACTTCTCTTCATTTTCAGTTATCTTGGGTCCTCCTCCCAAACACAACCCTTTTCCCGTGAAACTTATTCCCATTTTCTGTGCTCCAGGAAACAACACGCCGCTGACTCTGCTTCCCTTTGCAGGTTCCCTCGAAGAAGAACGTGAAGGTGCGTTTCAACACGTTCTTTGTGCTGGAGCCCGGCATCCCGGTCAGCTCCTGCACCAAGGACTACGTGCAGATCAACAGCACGAGGTAGGCGTCGGGCGCTGCCTGACCCACAGCTTTGGCCCTTGGAGTGGAGGGGCTGCGTTTAGTTACGTGGCACCTTGTGCTTTCCTTAAGCTTGCTGTGGGAACAAGCGTGCTGGTGCTTTTGGGGATATGAAGAGGTGGGAGGCTGCGTGGGTCTGACCTGCTCTCGTAGCTCGACGCCCCGTGGTGAGAGGGGAGCCGCACGCTTGGTTCTGGGGATTAGACCCCGGGTTTGTTGCAGCTGAATCCCCCCAAATGCTGCGGAACGTTGCGTCACCTGCAGAAAGGCAGGAACTCCTGGCATGGGTTCGCTGGAATGAGCCGATCTCCATTGCTAGGGTGACTGCGTCGCCTTCCGTGGGGCGTTTACCGTTACATTTACCGTTTGCTGTTAGCGTGAGCGGGACGAAAAGACAACTTGGTACTGCGCAGGGGAAGCGAGCAGTGTCGTTTGACAACATTTCAGGCAAGGGAGCTGACCCTTCCTCAAAGAGAGAGGGTTCCGAAGCCAGCACTGCATCTGTGGCCCTGGCCAGGTCCTGCAGCGGTGCTGCTGTGGTGCCTACCAGCCTGGGTGGGACGGGGTCCCGCGGCTGTAGGGGCTCCAGGGATCCGGAGGCACAGTGGCTCTGAGATCAGAGACGTCGCTGTGTCGAGCGGCGATTTGGACGAACTCGCTCCCGGTCGTTTCCAAGGGCGCAGCTTGGCGTTTGCAACTGGCCCAAACCTTCTGCCAACGGCAGCTGAATTTGGCTCCTGCGTGTGGGCCTTGAGGTCCGGCAGTTTGTGCTGGAGTCAGACCCGCTCTCTGCCCTCCTGCCCCTTCAGCTGTCTGGGCGTGTGAAGGGACCCCGCGTGTGAGGGATGAGGGACGGTTTGCTCAGTGCTGACCTACAACGCTGCGTCCATCTTTGCTCTCTCTCCCTGCAGGTACTGCGGGGAGCGCTCCCAGTTTGTGGTGGCCAGTACTACCAACAAAATAGAGGTCCGGTTCCACTCAGACCAGTCCTACACGGACACTGGCTTCTCTGCTGAGTACCTGTCCTACGACTCCAGCGATCGTGAGTTGAAACCCTGAGGCTGTGGGGGGAACTGGTTTGCCCAAGGCCTGGAGGCTGTCCCTCCTCTGCGCTTACGCTTTTCCAGGGGAGTGGGTGGGAGCACGTCTTATTTTCCTGCAAACCCCCTTGTATTCCTGCTCTGTCCTGAGGAAAAGGTGTTTTTAACGCTGGATGCTGTAAGCAGGCACAGGGAACGTCATGCGCTTTGGGGAAGGGAGGCAGAGGGGACGGCTGGAAGGCTCACGTATCGTTTTATCCCTTTCCTTCCCTCTCAGCCTGCCCTGGCAAGTTTACCTGCAACACTGGCCGCTGCATTGACAGAAGCATGCGCTGCGACGGGTGGCTGGACTGCGTAGACGGCAGCGACGAGAGATCCTGCAGTAAGTCTGTCCTTCATTTCTTTTCGGCTCGTCACGGGAAGGGCCGCGCCGCCCCGGGGTGGCTGCGGGTATTTGCTCTGGGCTTGTTCTGGGTAACATGCCTTAGTGCTGAGGCTTTGCAGATCAGTTGCCGGTCTCCCTGCCTGCCTCGCTCCTCGGGGCCGGGGTGAGAGGCACGCGGTGTGGGCATCAATCTGGGATCCTTTCCCAGCAGAGTAGCTGCGGGTTTTTGCTAGTCTAGCCCTCTCCCAGTGGGATCTCCCTCCCTTTCCAGTCCCCTCCAGGCTAGGAAGGTGTTTTTCTAGTTAATCCTCCTGGCCGCTGCGGGCTTGGCTGAGCTGGGTGGTATAAGGGGATGTATTTCGTTACCGAACCGGGCAGGTATTGCAGAGCGCATCTGGAAAACCTGAGGGATACACGGGGGTTGTTTCTTTGCGCGTCGTTTTCCTCTTGGGTTAGCAGAGCTATCCCACAGCTAATGTTATTGTTCAGGGCCAGCAGTTAATTCGAGAGGAGAGGATCCCCTGGTTTGGGATCTCCTTTGCAGGTAAGGGGCTGTACGAGGAGGAGCGTGCTGCTGGCCTGGCTGCCAGCACCGTGCGCCGGCTATCTCAGGTGCTTTCCCACCGGTTGTATCAAACACTTTGCTCGAGTTGTTGCCTCTGGCTGTCCTGCTGCCATTAGGCTGGGGTAACGTGAGCTTCAGCCTTAACTGCCCGTGGTGGTTACAGCTCTCCAAACAGGTTTTTTAGTTCTCCACAGCGGCAGAAATACCGTGCCGTAGCACAAGTGCGTTGTGTATTTGTGTACGCCGGCACGGCCCCCAGCTGTCATGGTCTTTTCTGGGGCGCTCGTTCCCGTGTGCTCGCCGGGAGAGCTGCCGGGGTTTCCCCGTGATGCTGCGGTAGACGCGGTGGCGGATGGGTCACCGGTGTCTCCACAGGTGCCTTTGCAGGTCTCTCCCCTGATTTCTCGCTCTCCCTTTTCAGCCTGTACCGACCAGCAGTTCAGGTGCCAGAACGGCTGGTGCAAGCCCAAGTTCTGGGTCTGTGACAACGTGAACGACTGCGGCGACAACAGCGACGAGCTGCAGTGCAGTAAGTAACTCACCCGGCGGGCAGAAAGGGCTGAGGGGGGCGATGGAGGCTGGCGGTGCGGAGGAAGGCAAGTGCTGGAAGCGAGCAGGCAAGAAACCCAAAATGCCGGCCGGCCGCAGCAGCCCCGAGCAGGAGCTCGGAGGAGAGAAACGAGGATGAGCAGAGGTGTGGGAGACGCGGGCTCTTGGGAAAGAAAGGGCTGCAGACGTCAGTGGTGGTGTGCAGTTTTGAGAAGGAGAGACTGGGACGTGCTCGTATGTTGTAGCTGCAGAGGCTTCGCCCGTCTCGGGGGTGAGGGAGGTGGACGCAGCCGTGTGCTGGGGGTACCGGGGGTTGCGCCCTGCCGTCTCTCAGGAGCGGCTCCTTCCCCAGGTTGCGCCGCCAACAACTTCAAGTGCGACAACGGGAAGTGCGTCCCCGAGGCGCAGAAGTGCGACGGCAAGGACGACTGCGGGGACGGGAGCGACGAGGGCAGCTGCAGCAATGGTGAGGACGGGCTGCGGAGGGGCCCTCCCCCCAAACGCAGCCTCTTACAGATTTCCAGGCGTCCCCATGTACCTTTTTTTCACGGGGTGGCAATGTCCTGGGGATGGGCAGAAGAGGGGAAGGGCTCCTGAAGCAGCACGACTTCCCCAGAACTGGGGCTGACCCTTCTCCCTTCGTCCTGCCTGCAGCGGTCCACACGACAGTCCCCTGCAAGGAATACACATACAAATGCCGCAGCGGGCGCTGCATCAGCAAGCAGAACCCAGAGTGCGACGGGGAGCGGGACTGCGAGGACAACTCCGACGAGGACAACTGCAGTGAGTACCCGGGGGAAGGCAGGGGACGCGCGTTTCTGGGCTCGGGCCCCTCGGAGAAACACCAAAGTGTGGCGGAGAGAGCCCCTGGGGTTTTCTGGGCGGTGGCTTGAGCTGAAAATAGCCAAGGTGTCTTCTTAGCAGTTTGCGGAGGGTCAGTGTCGTTCAAGATGTTTAGAGGGGGCTTACGCAGGTGATGCAGGGGTTTGTCTGCACAATTACTGACCGGGCCAGTAAACGTTTCAGCAAATTCAGCATTTGTCTCCCGTGCTGGTGGCGTCAGCCATCCCTGACCCGGGTGACGGGGCACTTGTGCTGCGGGAGGTATCCCAGGGGAAGGACGGGGGGACAGGAGTAACCAAGTGCCCCTTCTCCTTCCCCACCCCAGACTGCGGGACCCGCTTCTACACGAGGACGTCGCGGATCGTCGGCGGGCAGAACTCGGAAAAAAAAACGGATCGTGGGCGGGCAGACCTCGGAGGTGGGAGAATGGCCGTGGCAGGTCAGCCTCCACGTCAAGGGCCAGGGCCACATCTGCGGGGCCTCGCTGATCTCGGGGAGCTGGCTGGTGTCGGCGGCACACTGCTTCCTGCAGCTGCAGGGCATCAGGTAGGCGAGACCCCCCCGGCCGTTGCGCTTCATTTGTCTGAATAGGAAGAGCCAGTTTTTGCAGGCGCGTCTCAAGGAAACCGTTTAAGAGAGTGAGCTGAGGCGTCCGTGAGACGGGGCTTCACCCTGCCCTGCGTTTCGTGCCTCGTGCAGGTACTCAGACCCCAGCCTGTGGACAGCCTACCTGGGCCTGACCAACCAAGGCAACCGCAACGGTGCCAACGTGCAGTCACGGAAGATCAAGCGCATCATCTCCCACCCCTACTTCAACGACTTCACCTACGACTACGACATTGCCGTGGTGGAGCTGCAGAGCCCCGTCACCTTCTCCTCCGTCGTCCAGCCCATCTGCCTGCCCGATGCCACCCACAACTTCCCCGTGGGCAAGGACCTGTGGGTGACCGGGTGGGGAGCGACCGTGGAAGGAGGTGAGCGCTGGCGTTGCCGTGCGAACGTGGGGCCACATGGATGTATTTTTGCGTGTGGCTTTAGGAAAAAGGGGGGCTGGCTGGATTTAAACGTGTGAGCTTGCCTCAAGCCTGGAATCAAATGCGATTTCCCTTGGGAGCGCACAAAGTTAACGCCTCGGTCCTGCTGGAAAAGCGGGTTGTTGCAACGAGGGGTTTACCTGGCGATTAGTCAGTCGGTCAGAGCCCGAACGAGGCGCACAGGGGAGGGAAATGCTGCGCGCTTCTGCTTACGCTGCCCCTCCCTCCTCGCAGGCAGCGGAGCCTCCATCTTGCAGAAAGCAGAAATCCGGCTCATCAACCAGACGGTGTGCAACGAGCTGCTGACGGACCAGCTGACGCCGCGCATGATGTGCGTGGGGATCCTGACGGGCGGCGTGGACGCCTGCCAGGTAAGGCAGCGGTGCGGCAGCGCTCGGGTTTATTGCCGTGAGGAGGAGCCTTAGTTAGGCAGACAGGCCCTTTGCTCAGCCCTTTGTTATTCTGGCACTTCCGCACTTAACCTGCGAGAAACCTACGATGGAGCCTCCTTGATTCGGGCACGAGCAGCAAATTGTGTCGATGCACGACTGACTTAGTCTTAAAACCTGCAGCCCACCAACGCACACCTTGGACTCAAAAAACGTCTCACCAGGTAGGAGAACAGTGCACCCACCCTCCGGTTTATTACCGAGGGCCTTAGGTAGCAAGAGAGGGCTCTTGTTTAGCTCTTTATTTTGGCTCTTGTCGCCATACTTAGTTTCAGGTACAGGTACACTTTCTTCTTGATTCAGGGAAGTGTACAGGCAGCTGACTTGTAATCTGTAACACCCAAGGGCTTGTTTTTTTCTTGCTCAGTTTTTGGGCTTTCCTTTAACACTTTGCACTAGCGCGATGTACTGTCGTGGTGCTTATGCTACCGTTTGTTTCTGTGCAGGGAGACTCCGGGGGGCCCCTGGTCAGCGTGGAGCCCAGCAATCGGATGTTCCTGGCTGGCATAGTGAGCTGGGGCGACGGCTGCGCGCAGAGAAACAAGCCCGGAGTGTACAGCCGGCTCACGAGCCTGCGAGACTGGATCGAACAGCAGACGGGCCTTTAGGGACACGCTGGGCCCTGCGTGAACGCGGACACCTCTTGTACACGGCCGGCCGGAGATGTTGGGTACTGTCATTTCCTCCCGGCAGCACACAGCCTCTACTGTGAACTTCAACCCACCCTCTACCTCGCCGGGGACTCCGTGTGTGTACGGAACAGCCAGAGCTGAGGGCTTCGTTTGGCCCTTAGGATTCCCCCTTGGGGGTAAGTCAGTGCCACTCCCATCAACACCTTCAATGAGCAGCCCTTTAACTTACATATAAAATAAAAAAAAATCAAATTAAAAAAACCCAAACAAACACTTTGTGTTTTCAGAGGCAAACTTTATTAGAACACGTTCTGAAAGCTTGTTTTTGAACCTGTCCCATCTCCTTCGTTTGTTTTCAAACTGCCGTCCGCACCCCTTTTTCTGGTCCTCAGTCGGGGCAGGGAGGGGGGGGAGAAGGAGGGGTGAGAAGTTCTTACCCATGGTCTTGTCCCACGCTGTGCTCTCCTTCCCTCCTCCATCTGGCTGGGCTTCTGGTCACACCCAGTCCAGGGCTGTGGGACAGAGACAAAAAGAAGTGTGGCTGAAACATGCTGTCACTCACCCCCAGGGACACAGGGCTGCTTGTGCAGGCGGGGGTTTGTTTTCCTGCCTCCAGCCCGGAGCAGGGTGGCATTACCATGCTGTGCCTTGACACGATGCTGTGGTTGAGCTGGCACATCTTCTCGGCTCCAGCACTGCGCTTGGCAGCTTCCCCTCTCTCGCTGCGACAAGCAGAGTTCAGTGGCGGAGCTTGAAAAGAAAAAAATGCAATAACGTGACTTGTGAATGTGCCGGTTTTACTTTGTTTCGATGTAGCCTGTTCCTTGCCCTAGCAGAGCACACTCCAATTGAGTTGTTTGCCCCTTCCTTGCCTGTAAATACATCGTTTTGTAAAACACTATGAAGTGGAGATGCTCTAATAAACTGGGATATTTTCTAATATTCTGTTGGTGTCGTTCTTCTTTCCTACCTGGAAACCTATAGGAGTCAGACTGGCTGCCCACACTTGGCAGGAGCTTGTTCTGCTTTCCCTGCACTCGTGGGGGGAAAAAGCAGAAAAAAGCCACCCCGAGCACCCCCGGGGTGCAGCTGGAACAGTGCAGCACAGGGCTGCTCTGTTCCTCCCAGCTTCCTTCTGCTGGAGACAGGAGGATTTTAATCGCTTTGCAGTCGCTGTAGAGAAAGCTGAGGCATAAAGAGAGTGTAGGAACATTTTCATATCTGCGCTTACACACAACGCTGCAGCACCACTGACCCCTGATCCAACACAACGCTGGCTGCAGGTCCCAGACTGCACATCACCACGTTTCTCCCCTGAAGCTGTCCAGACTTGGCACGTCTTTTCCCCAGCAGAAGCAAGACAGTGGCCACAGGCACAACTTGCTGCTCTGAAGCAATCTGCTGCTTCTGTGTCCAAACCACCCTCTGCTAAAGACCCTGCTGCCCAGGGGGGGGTCTTCCCTGCTGGGAAGACCCTGGTCTTTCCAGCAGCAGCTTAAGAGATGCAGCAGGGATGGGTAGTTTGCCACGGAGGCGAGTTTGTCCCTGGAGTTGTGCTGGACACCGAAAGGGACGCACCAGCCCCGTGTTGTCCAGAGCCAGCTCCCTCCCGCTGTCAGGTCCATGCAAATTCTCTCTTGCAGGGAGAGGATAAGCAGCGGTTTGCAGCACTGAGCTATGAAAGGAAATGAAAGCATCGATTATTTGACTCCACGGTGTCCTGGTTTGCAGTTACTCCCCCCCGAGACACATACCCCACAAAAGACTTCCCTAAACTTGAGGGCTTATGGATGATAGCTGGGAGATGCTGGAGATCACAGGGTGCCCGAGGGACGACGCCACCCCAGGCACCTACACCCATGGCGCTACTGTCCTAAATCAGGGACGCTGGAGTCCCACACCCCTGTCCCAGCCTCCCGGGTTCAGCCACAACTCACAGCCTCAGCCTGGAGCCAACTGGACTGTACCAAGAGCCATGCTGGCCACCCCATCTTGGGAACAGTATGGCTCCAGGACCTGCCCGGCAGGGCATCACGAGCTAAACATCACAGCCAGCCAAATCCAACCCACCTCCCGGGGATGTAAGGTCCTCCCCGAGCCAACCACGCAGGGAAGCTGTCCCCTTTCTTCCTCACGCCATCTTACTTGCAAAGATGCCAACATCACCCAAGCGTCCACCCTCCACTACGCCCACTCGTGCCTGCTCCCAGGCATTTCGACACACCAGTTGCAGAGGAGTCCTGCCCAGAGTGGGTGCAAGAGCAGAGGAGCAGCCTGCACACTGGGGAATTGCAGCGGGACGTTTCGTCACCCGCTGAGCGCAAGACGCAACGTTGACTCGCTCTCCGTTGCTCTGGGCTCCTGCCTCAGCCAGGACGATATCTGGGCCGAGCAAGAAGAGTTGCAGGCGATGCTTTTCCAAACAGAAGCGCAAATCCTGTGCGAGCAAAACCAAAAGAAAAGTATGTTCAGACAGGTTTTGGTTTACCAAGTGCAGCGGCACCCACCACGGCCAGGTGTGAGGCCCCGATGACAGGCTGGCACTAGGCACACGAGGGGCTTTGAGGAAGCCAGCTCAGTTCCAGGCAGTGCAGATCCATGGCAGTGGGACGTTCTCCGAGGCAAATTCATCCTTGCTTTCACCAGCATGTTCCCTTCACGCCCTAAACACGCACACATGCACGTAACTGGGATCCGACGGCCTGGGAACACCACACTCGCCTCTGCTCCAAGCAGCCTCTCAGCGAAGCCGTGATGAAGGGCTCCTTCCTCCCGCCGCTGTGGGCTCCCCTTGTCAACCCAGCTAGAGGGGGATGACTGCGAGCCTTGTGTAACATCACCCGATGCACAAGGGAGGCGAGCAGAGACGAAAACACCGCGTTGGCTCTTGGCATCATCGGACACATGCCTGTAACTCAAGAGGAGTCTTGTTTGGATCACGGTCTTGAGAGCTCCGGTTTGGCAAAGGGGATATTGAAGAAGTGGCTGGGAGAAGAGCCGAGAACGTTAACGGATGGCTCAGCTGTGACTCCAGCATCACCTTCCCCTTGTCAGAGGAAGGCCAGTGTCCTTCGAGACACCCCCGGGGTTTGCCAATCTGGTTGGGAGTATTTCTATTGCAGAGAGAAAGGATTGAGCACAAATCACCCTGGAAGAAGGGGGAAACTGGCATTACAGCCACCACCCTACCCCAGGGCTTCGCAAGGACTCGCTGCACTAAAGCGGTGCGATAGCCGCTCTGGATCCCTCCCGACCCGCTTTTGTGTTCACCATCTCCCACGGACTGGTGGGTACCAACAGAGCTGCGACTCCCTCCCAGCCAGAGCAAGCTAATGTTAGGGGTGTCTAAAGCCTCCAGCCACGACCCCCGGCTTGTACAGGCATCAGGAGAGAGGTAACGCAGCGGCAGAGCACTCTGGTTTGCTAGCAGCACCCAGTTCTCATCGTGGGTGCTGGCCCCTGACATGCAGGAGCCCCAGGAAGGGAGCTTAGAGACTGAAGGGAAAGGTACTCTCCTAAGAGGATCCAATTTCCTTCCTCCTGGCAGCTGCCCCTCTCCCTAAGCCTCCTCTCATCCCATGGTTCTCCCTCTCTACCCAAGCTCCCCGGTACAGGAGTGGCTGCCTCTGCTGACCCTTCCCCGGCACCCAACGCCGCTTCCCTCAACCTGACCAAGGTCTCCTCCCACTGTCATACTAGACATACTGCTTCCTTCTGGGAGGCACCTCGTAGGACCAGAGATCTGCAGGCTCCCGGTGGCGAGGCAGACCAGTTGTCTGCTAGTTGTCCCCTAGACAAACCCCGCCGTCCCCCAGCCTTGCCTGCGAAGACAGAAACCTTTCCCCTCGCGCGCTTTCCTCCCTGCTGCTACTGCTGCCTTACTGCAGTCTGTTAGAGCGAGAAGAGGAGGAGGAGTGCCAAGAGCAGGATTGCAGCAAGAGACAAAACGTTTAAGTTAAAGATTAGCCCTGCTTTGGGGAGCTGGGAGACATGCAGGGAGCGGGGGGGGCTCTTGGGAGCCCTGGATGCATCCAACACCAACGGGGTCCTTTTGCTATCGCACGTATTTCAGGCACGTTCCTCTCCGAAGGCTCTTTCCTTCGGCACCCAAGTGATGACCAGCTAGTCTCCCAAGGGCCTGAAACGCCTCATCATGACACAAGATCAGGACAGAAAAACACCTCCTGGTTGTTGGAAAGCCACCTCCATAGAGTGTCAGGGGAACCAAGATTCCCAACAGCACCAGGTGAGAGAAACACGCAATGAACAGGCCCAGCAAAGGTCCACTTTGCCCCGAGGCAATCAGTACAGCTGAGCTGCTCAGAAATCTCAGCTCCTGCTCCTACAGAAACAAGCTCTTTTGGTAAGGATTAAAAACAAACAAATAAGTGTGACCAAAAAAAAAAGAGAGCACCAAGTCCTTCAGTTCAGGCCCCGCTAGATGTCCCTGTTGGCCAAGGCACAAGAGCTCCTGAAACATCACCAGGAAGGAGGTCCAGGGAAGCATCAAAGGGGTAGGTCTGCAGGCTGCAAGCCCCAAACCCTTCTCCCAGAGGCCAGAGGGGAGGGATCCAAGCAGAGAGAGAAAGAAAGAATGAGTAGGCAGGGAAAGGAAACAAGTGTAGGCAGCGCTGGATGGAGAACGGAGCTAAGCAGCTGGCAGCAGCTGGCCTTGCCTGCAAGGTGCCTAAATGAGGTGCTTTGGGGGAAAAGCAGCTCTGAATCAGCTTGGAAAGTCCCATCCCTCACGTTAAAGGTCCAAGTCGAAGAGTTCACTGATGGCCAGCAGCCCACTGGACTTTCCTTCCCCCCGCCGCAGTCCACCAGCAGTTCCCAAACTATTCCCCCTCTACCTCAGCACTTGGAGGAAACGGTCCTCTACTCGTCTCACGTTAAAAGAAAGCAGTTGTCGGACCCCAAACGCTGCGTTTCATTCCGATACCATGGGATTAGGGCAACAGAAACCCAGCCCTGGT